TAAACTACTTCAGCTGCTAAACAGCAGTTGGTTCTGTATTACTCAAGTAAGCAACTGATCAAATCTTGAAAGTTATAAAGTGTTATTCCGTTATGCGGAGTAATCCAACACTTTGCCTTCAGTAATATTGACCGGAAATTAGGCGTTCAGTCAGTTCGTTCGTAGGCGTATCAAGTTTTATTCAGAGAAAATTCGAAGATACACTATTTGTTAGAAAAATTAATAAAAAAAAAAAAAAAAATGCGAGTACTCCACAAATGATTATTTTGTCAAGATTCTGGGATAAGTATTGTTCATTGTAATCCTCTTATCAAAAGCATCGTTGTCTTTTCCACTCTGTGGCCTGATCTGAAGTATTCACGCGACGCTCGGCGTCCTTGGTCTCCAGAGTGCAATCCAAGTGCAATCCTGTCATCGCGAGAGTTGATTCTGGGATTCTAGACAGTGCACTCCTGATGGCCATCGGCGTCATTTTGTACAACTCACGTGCAGCCAATTGCATTCGAGTTTTATAACAGAGTTCGATAATTCTTACTATATACTTGGGTTACATAACTTACTAATTTGTAATTTATATAAATTATACTTTACAATTTATAATTATATTTTATAAGTTGTAATATAAATATAATTTTTTTATAATTTATAATTATATTTTATAAGTTATAATATAAATATAATTTTTTTATAAATTTTATAATTATATTTTATAATTTTTATATATTTTATAATTATATTTTATAATTTATAATATAAACATAATTTTTTATAATTTATAATTATATTTTATAAGTTATAATATAAATATAATTTCTTTATAATTTATAATTATATTTTATAATTTATAATATAAACATAATTTTTTTATAATTTATAATTATATTTCATAAGTTATAATATAAATATAATTCTTTTATAATTTATAATTATATTTTATGAGTTATAATAATTTATAATTTATAGTTATATTTTATGAGTTATAATAGTTTATAATTTATATAAAATATTGTATTTTATGAGTTGTAATAATTTATACAATTATATTTTTAACTTAGATAAATTTCTGTTTTAACGTTTTACATTATACTTGAACGAGTTGCATTGTACAATCTATATTTCTAATTCAGTTCTTACATTACACGCTGTTAGTTTAATTCTTGTATCATACTTACTGTTAATTCAGAACTTTGGTAAATTTCTAATTTAGCAACTTTTCCCAATTGTGGCTCTTAATGTATCCTTTTAATAAAACATATAAATGAAAAGAAAATCTCGTTGGAAGGACATAACTTTGAACGAAATAAAAAAAGAGAGAGAGAGAGAGAGAGAAATTAGCTGATGTTGGGAAAAGTCGCTAAACTAGAAAGAAACAGCACGCACGTTCTTCGTCGTTTTTCAGTTTTACGTTGTTCGAAAACAAACAGAAAAAGAGAAATCCATGAGATGAAATACGACTGTGGATGGTATGACGAAGATCTACAACACGGGACGAAACACGACGGTGGCAAACAATGGCGCGACGACGCGAGGTAAAATGTGAACAACGACACGTGCCGCACGTGGACGATAGTGATACGCGCGTGATTGCCGTATATCAAGCGGCTAATCCGCTGATAACTACCGTGGCCAGCCTCTGCTGCCTCGCACACTGTAAATAAGAACGCACGTAGCTCGATAAAAATCGAGCTTGTGTGCCAACGGAAGTGGGGAAAAAAAGCACCGTGATTCCTCTGGTTAAACCATCGATCAAATATCAACACGCGCATCTTTCGAAAATTTTTTTGTCTTGCATTCGATAAATTTATTGCCACGACACAGTCGCTTCGGTGATACGCTCTTTTCATTAAACGTGATTAAAGCAAGAATATCGAATATCATTCAATACCATGATGATGGTGAAACAACAAAATTTTATAAAAACGAAATATTAAAATTTATAAGAAGTTTGATGAGTGACGAATGGGTTTCAGGAAGCTTTAACGATTTTTCAACAAGTTTGGTGATTCAGGGACGCGACGTAAGATTGAATTATAGTCTTTGTTCTTACGTACATTTGGAGTTATTTATCGGTGACCTAGTTTCGCCAATTCTTTGGCCGAACGTGATAACGATTCTCGGAGGAATCTTGCACATTCTTTCGTTGTCATAATTTCATCACAGTGTGAAAAATTGGTCTAATCTTAAAAGGAGTGGAGAAACAGGGATTCGATTCACTTAGTTTAAATAGAAGATTTAACTCTCTCGTCACGTCTCTGTATTCGTTTTTTCTTGTATCGTCAATAATTATTATACTTGTGCGATTTCATAATTTCACGAAAATAATTAAAATAATGGAACCTAGTTAAAATTATTAATTATTATTATTATTAAATTAAATATTAAATTAAATATTTATATTTAAAATAAAATATTAAATTAATATTAAATAAAATATTAAATTAAATATTAATTATTGAAGGACATTATACACTTTGAGTATTTTATATATTTTTCTTAAATGCATAAAAATTTGCGGTCTATTAATAAATAAAATAAATTCCTATCGATTACTCATACATGTCTAGTTCACAATTACGATTTCAGAAACACGTAAGTGCAACAGTACTTACTTAATGAACGTATTATCATTTCTTCGTAATAGTAGAATCATTAAAAAAAAAAAAAACGTAAGAAAGAGATGTAATTAATTTTTTATCAGAAGATATCGCGAGCTGGCGATATTTGTTATGTTAGTCTCTTTCTAGTCTCGTTTCACGGTAGTTCCCGGACGAATATGTAAATTTGCAAATTGTTTTGCAAGACTCCATTGGCTAAACGGCGCGTCCCCCAACGAGATTATGCATTTTACTAGCGTCAGAGGTCATGCAGAATATCTGTTCACTGATAACGCGTTTTTTGAACGGACCGAATCGTAAGCGGTGAACCGTGCGAAAGGGATTTTAGAGTAGCGTTTGTCAATCATTTCTATTCATATTCAGAGAGATTGAAAAAGCTTAGATTGAACAGGCAAGTATCTAAGCTGTCGGACCTAAGTAGCGTGAATCTTTTGATTTCGAAAAAAAATTTGAAACGTGCCACTATTTATTTTAAATCGAGTAATTTCGAATCTTCGAATTTTGGCATTTAAATCACACTGATAGTTGGAATATTTCTAGCTCTACACTCACGGAAGTCATTAATCCACGAGAGTGGAATCGTATCGCCGTATCAGGATGTTACATTACGATTACATCACGCCATAATCTTTCAATAACGCCTCAATTTATTGATAGCACATAACAAAGATTGATAGTTAGGGGAATAGCAAGTTGACAGAGAGTTCAATTGTTCGCAACAATGAATCCCTTGCACGGAAATATCACCATTATAGAATTTTGCAATTCATTGGATAAATTACGTTCGAGCTTGACATCATTGTCCACTGATAGGGTTATTTTTTCCATTAAAAAAAAAAAAAAAAAGAAAAAATGACACGCCCTTTTAAATTCATATATAAAATGATGAATAATTGTTGTGATTATTATTTTTACGAGTTGAGTGATTTCTTACAAGTGACGCTTCAAAAATTTCATAATTTTGCAGCTCTGCCAATGTAAAAATGAACAACGAATGGAAAAATTTAAAATAAGAAAAAAAAAAACTACCACTATGATTTTTCGCAGTCGGTAGGACTCGAACCTACGCTCCCAGAGGGAATCTGATTTCTAGTCAGACGCCTTAACCACTCGGCCACGACTGCTTCAGAGTACAGTGTAAGAAAATCAGAAAATATATAACGTTTCTCTTGTCGCAAAATAGAAAATTTTTGATTGTATTTAATTTAATAAAAAAAACTGATTAATTCACTATATCTACATGTTTAATCACACCGATTAAATCTTTAATTGACGAATAGTTTAAATTACTACAAATAAGTAAAACAAAAGTTAATAACAATATAATTATTGCAAGTAAAACAAAAAGTTAATAACAATATAATTATTGCAAGTAAAACAAAAAGTTAATAACAATATAATTATTGCAAGTAAAACAAAAAGTTAATAACAATATAATTATTGCAAGTAAAACAAAAAGTTAATAACAATATAATTATTGCAAGTAAAACAAAAAGTTAATAACAATATAATTATTGCAAACAAGTAAAACAAAAAGTTAATAACAATAACAATAAAATTGTACTCTGCTAACATATAAATAATTTTCTGCCTTCTTAAACGCTGCGTTAACTATAACTTTCGGATAAATGAGAAATGTACCATTGTGGAATATACATTCACGTAAGTTTTCTCATACTTTTCAGTAAATAAAATCGACGAAAAAGTGTGGGACATAGTCGGCAGAGGAGACAATGAATATATTAACTTGTGAAATCAGAGATTGTATTTCAGTGGATCGATACAATAGAAAGATAACAGACAAAGGACGCAATTAGAAATCGAAATTTATTTAGTAGACATTATAATATGTTGATTATCTACGTTAATCAAGTACAGCGAAACCAAGTGACTTGCTCTGTCAGAATTTTTTTTTTTCCCCCCCCCTTTTAATTCATCCTGCTAAAAAAAAAAAGAGAAAAAAAAAAAGAAGAAGAAAAGATGTCCCTCGAGGTTGCGTTAATTAACATCGATGCTCGAACCTCGTTAGAGTTCCCCCTTTTCGTTATGTCTTGCGACGTCTTATGAAAATCGAAAAAATGACACACGCTTACAGTGTACGGTGTACTTCCTGTCCAGCTGGTGAATGCAAGTCAGAAGGATGTTTTACAAATAGAATATGAACACTAGATAATTATCGTAGAATCTGATCAACAGCGAAGAGCGAAATTTTCACTCGCGACAGATTCAATGGAATGACCGACATCGTCATTTATCGTAACGCGACTTCGCAGGCTGTAGAACATATCCTTTTGTCTCCTTTTCACCTTGAAAGCGAATGCTGTCGATTATTCGAGATTACGTTCGATGTTGATTCAAATGTTCTCTTTTTCTTCTTCTTCTTCTTCTTCTTCTTCTTTCCAAATGTCTACGCGCCTCCAAACGATTGCATTCACAAGAACCTGTCGAGATAATGTCCTAACTTCGAATATTCCCCCCCCCCTCCCCCCACCCCCTTCGATTGAACACAGAATCGCATAACCTATTGCTCGCGAGCCTAAACTTGCTTACTGAAACATCCGAAAAGCCCCTCGTTCGTTCTCGCTTCCTCGCTCGCAATTTACAATGTAACGAACTCAACCCGCAAAAGTTCATCGAAAGTTCAGCGTGCACGTTCTTCCCTCTGTTATCGATCATTCGAAAGAGATGAAAAATATTCCAACAACGTTCGTTCGTTTCGTTATATTTCATTTTGCTTTTTTCCCTCTCACCTGTACCCTCTATTTTTCACCTCGTTCGACAGACGATCTCAAAGATAGAAACTCACTCGCGGCGAGTCTTATCTCCGAGGTTTGCTTAACCTTTGACTAACTTCCTCTTCTGCATACGCGTTTTTAAGTAACTCGTCGTTATATTATACCTATAATTAGTGTAGTGCGGCCGTAAACGTATATGTACAATCTTATAACTGTCGATTCGATCGATCGATCATCTGCACAAGATCAGAGAGATACTTCTTCTTTCTCTTCTTCTTCTTCTTTCTTTTTTCTTTGTCTCTTTCTCTCTCTCTCTCTCTCTCTCGCTCTCTCTCTCTTTCTCTCTCTCTCTCTCGCGCGAAATCGATCTGTTTCACTTAATACGTAAATTACAAGACGTCGCGCGTCGGACTTCGCGTTTCCTTTTCTCTACGAAGCTTACAGTGCAACTCGGGATTGCAATAACAGCTAGACAAAAATTCTAAAGTCACGCTGCGACCTCGATCGGTAATCGATGCCGGTGGCGTTCATCTACAGCGATTATTCGGTAATTATCTGCGCGATTAGCGATATAAAAAAATGTCCCTTCGAATTTGTCCGCGCGCGAGAAAGAACGATCTGCGATTATTTACAGACACTGAGTTTCTTTTTCCCATCCCTTCTTTCCTCTATTCGCTTCTTGCGTTTCTATATTCTCCTTCCTTTGTTTCTTCTCTCGTCTTTCCTTCTTTCTTTCTTTCTTTTTTCTTTTTTTTTAATTTAATTATTATTATCTCTACGTATAAATATATGTACCTTTTGTTCGTAGAAGATCGGGTCACGGAGAATTTTTAATTTCTATCGAACGACTAAATACTTTGAATCAAGAGGAAACTTATCATTTTTTTTTTTTTTTTCATATTCTTCTTCATCTATCTTTTCTTCGCAATTTTCTTCAGCGTTTTTTTCAGTCAAGTGCAAAAATAGATACTTTATCGCCTCACCAATATATTTTTTTTTCTTCTTCTGCATCTCTTCTTTTTTTTTTTTTTTTCTCGGCTCTTCGTCTAAAACTGAATACAGTGTAGAATAAATAATGTTCAGGAAATGTTCCAAGAACACCTATAGATCTCTTTCTAGATAAATACGAAACGACGACAGCGGGGGGGGGGGGGAGAGAAAATTGATTCTTTTCTCTTCTTTCCTTTTGACATTGTAACAGAGATCGTGATTTATTGATATTCATTCGTCGTGAACGCGAATTTTGATAATTAACACGAGCTCGACTTGCAATAGTTCGGTGAACCAAAGAACATCTGCTGAACACGGGACGCCAAAGTGAGCTAACCCCCAACTATCTCGCGAATGTTTCTTCTATTCTGGTATCTCCGAAGCGCAAGGTAACGAGACGTAAAAATTCGCACGAGTGGATCGATGCAATGGAGAAAAAGAGAAAAAAAAAAAAAAAAAAAAAAAAAAAAAAAAGAAAAGAAAAGTATCGACATGTACTTATACAATGGATCGAATGGAACCTACTCGTTATACTAAGGTATTCGAGTTTAGCGATTAAAATCGGCCTACGATCGTCGAGGGTGTAGCGCATATTTGAAATATTCTCACGAACCGTTCTCGAACAGTATCGCGTAGATTTTGGCTTGTCCTAATCTAAGTTTCGCTCGAAAAAACGTCGCGCTCCAGTGGAGGGGAGCAAAGGGAATCTAGCGGTTCTACGTTCAAGTTTGGAATCTCTTTCCTCCGTTTTCTCTCGCGATCGGAAGGGCTGGTCAACGTCTCGCGTTCCCCGTCTGCGTGAAAAAATGGGATTGTTAATCGCTAGAATCGCTTCTCTAAACGCTAAGTAGGCTAGTGAAGTATTTTTTCCTTTACGCCTATTTGGATAAGTTCCGCGCTATGTTGATCGATACCGTAATACGCGCACACGCAGAAGTGAGCCTAGAGCAAAACGCTACCACGCTTCATGGATCGATTTTTACCACGTTTGTTGGATCACGTTGTTAGTGCAGTCGTGTATTCGTATTATGTACATACAGGGCGGTAGATGAAATATACACGCGCGTCTCGTCACCCTCGTCACGATCACATTTCACGTTCGTAAATTTTGTAATCGAGGGATCGTTCGATCGTTCGGCAGGGAACGAAGAGCAGGATACTCGAAGCATAGAAAATAACGCGTTCTGTACAATTTCTTCTTGCCTTCGAAACTACGGTGTGGCGAATGAAACGTCGAATCGAACGGATCCCTCGAATCCACGATCGAACGCGATGAAATATTGTTTCGAACGGTGGTTCGCTAAACATTTGATCTCGGAAAAATTGAGCGAAGTAACGTTCCACTGATACAGTTTGATGGATTTGCTTTTTTTTTTTTTTGGCGGCAATTCGTTCCACTTCAAAGATTCATATATAGATATATGTAATCGTTAAATGACGGAAATTTGCATTGAGACCGCCGCGTATATCGAAGGATGACGAGCGAAACGCTTTTTTATCTTAAGTAAATTCATACCTATAAATGTGACACGAATTATTTGTACAACATTTGCGGTTCGAAATTGGATGGAATTTACGAGAGTTAAGGCTCGTTAGTTATTCAAAAAGTTATTCAAAGTGATTTCATCGAAAATCGAAAAATACGTTGAGGGAACACACCTCGACGAAATTTATCTTGTATTTTCTTTTTTTTTTTTTTTTTCACGATTACGCGACGCGTTAACAGAGAGAATTATTACAGTCGATCAGAGACGAAGAAATAGGAAATTTGATAATTTTTCTCTATCTCGCAGAAATCTTTTGTAAAACACTTTGTCTCTCGTTCGCTTTAAGAAAGTGGTGATTAGCAACGAATATTTATAAAGTGGTCCTCTCGGAGCCTTAACTCTGTAGAAAAACATGAAACAGTACTATTAATCGTAATACTCTCGCGGTATTGCACTAGAACATGATTTAATGAAATATTGCTCTTTCCGTGACCACCGTTGCGGTGTTATTCATATTAGTGGCAGTGCCCAATTACTGTTGTTCTCTTCAGCTTCCTACCTCGAACGGGGCGAGCGTGTCGAACCAACGCGTTGACAGTTTTTTTCATGTTTCTCACTTCTTCCTTCTCTCTTACTATCTATGAATCAGTCGCTCGGCACTATTAAAGAAAGAAGAGGCGTCAGTTAATACGCAAAAGCCGACGTCACTCGTTCTTCAAAATTAGAAAAAAAATCACACATGACCGATTCTCCTCTGAACAATACTTCTGAAATTTCTTCTTTTTACGTCCTCTCTTTCTCTTCGTGAGTGGAAAGCACGTGATACAAGACGAACGAGACGATCTCGGTGAGAAAGTGTGTCGAAAATTCTGAGATTTCAAGCTTTTTTTTTTGTGTGTGTGTTTTTTTTTTGTTTTTTGTTTGCTTTTTTCAGAGACTATTTCAATTTCGACTGCACGTAAACTCTGAGAATTACTTTGAGAAATTATTTCAATCGAGGAATGTGTGTTACTTCTCATTTCTAACGTTCAGACATCAATCAGTGATAGATGATGGGATATCGGGATGAGTAGAAGCTGCGTTTACTTGGGGATGTAACTGAATGCGCGAAAAACGACAGAAACAGAAGCAAATGTACACTTCATTCTCTTTGCACAAACGAGGCGCAAATGTGGAAAGGTGGCGTCAAGTTCGAGTCAACGATGTCAGCTATAATTTTGCTTTATTCATACTTCAAATTAGTTTAATTTAAAAATTACAGAGATCATGTTTTCGTTCATGGAGATTGTCACCAACGACAAAAAGAAAGAAAAAAAAAAAAAAAAAAACAATATACTTGCGAACGTGTATAGTTATATGCCTACAATATAATTTACAAAAAAGAAAGAAAGAAAAAAATAGAATAGAAGATAAAAGAAAATTCGGATAAGAGAAACTAAAATATAATAGATTAGCAAAGTAAATTATAAGGGAAGAAAAAAAAAAAAAACAAGTAAATGAAAAGGATCGATGTTGCGGTGATGGTGGTAGAGTAATGGTGGACGAGGTCGATCGCCGTTACTAGGAAAAGTAAAAATTATCTTCACTTCTGTATAAAAAATTTCTTTCATTGACGATCTCTTTTTTTCTTTCTTCTTCTTCTTTTTCTTCTTCTTCTTCTTTTTCCTACGATTTAAGTAAAGTCTGTCGTTCCCTTATGTATTATATAACGAATCAGATCTTCGTTCATCATTTTTTTTTTTTTTCCATTTATATAAATAGACGTGCGTTTATCGATACTTTTAAAAATTTGCTTATTACATCGTTTACAAAAATAAAATGAAACGCGGGACAATTCATCCTATCTATGAATGAAAAATAAAATTTCCTATCTAATCGAGGCTAAAGACGCTCATTGAGTCTTAACTAAAGTGTAAAAGAGAAAGACGTGTCGAACAAACGATTCTCCAAGAATTCCTATCGACGATTGTTCGCGGACACCTGTAAATTTGCGACTTATTATCGATCGTGCTTTCACGTTTCGTTCGATCTTTCTTTCATCCCCCTTTTTCCTTTCCCATGTATTCACCTTTCATCTTAACCATTTTATTTCCTCTTTCTTTTTTTTTTTTTTCTTTTTTACCATTTTCTCAACTCTATTCTTTTGGAAATGCACAAGGAGAAAGAAACGGTGCCATTAACGATCGATACACGAGACACGAACGCATCTTCAATGCGTTACTACGTTATACATCGTCATTTACGTTCCTCGATCTTCCAGGAAACGGTCGGTGACGTTCGAAATCGTTCAACTGCAAAATAAAAGACTTGACGTCGTACTTTTCTCACTCTTTCCAAGCATTCACACTTGTACTTCGCTCCTTTTAATTAAAAGTCGTCATACTTCTTCTCGCGCGTACGCTCTTTCTCTCTATTCTTTTTTTCTTCTTTATCTTTCTCTCTCTCTCTCTCTCTCTCTCTCTCTCTCTCTCTCTCTCTCTCGCGTCCTTCTCGTTCAAATCTCTATCAGACACACACATTAACTAAAGTTAGAAAGTTATTATATATCTATGTGTATTCCCGTTCAGTGGGATCGATCCAGCTTTCCTTGCGCGAAATTGGCGAAGATAGAAAGCGATTATCGGCCGTCCCTAGCTCTGATGGTCCGATGGTCGTTCGAGATCGATGCCACTGTCGACGTGACGGTCGTACGCCGACGGTGCACGTTATGGAGATCCTGTTCTAGCTTGTCGAGGGTAGCCAGCCCGTGAACGCATACGACGCTCTGTGGATGAGGATGACAGGGATGCTGGTGCTGAAGCACGAGGGTTGTCGTCGTCGTCGGTGGAGGAGGCGGCGGAGGCGGTGGAGGATGAGGAAGGGAAGTGAGCCACGTCACGCCTGGCTCCGCTCTGTGTCATTTGCTGTTCTGCTGTAGCGCCGCGTTGATTTGTGCCCACAGTTCTTTGGTACAGGATTGAGATCTACAAACGGGAATTACGTTTCCAATATTAGTTACCTGTTATTGTTTCATAATACTAATATACCAGAATGACCATCATGACACTATGATTGCAGATATTATATTTAAATATTAACACTGTCATTTCTAATTCATGTATTCGTATGAAATTTAATATATACACAGATATAATTAAATGTTAACAAATATAACAGCGCACACATATGTTTGTAGCTATTCCATATCATAATATTTACTATGTTTAGACTGACTCGTTGAAGTTTGCAAGTTTCTTAAATTATTGTCATCTGGCATAAGACAATACCTTTTAATGGACTGAAGTCGTTCCTTGAATTGAACGTGGCCCTCCGGAGTGATGTGAAACGCTGCTCTGGCGGCGCACACTACGTTTACGAAGTCTTCGTATTCACCGGTTGTCAAATGATATAGTTTCTGATGCATACACTGAATATACCTGTAATTTGCAATTGAAACATTGAAATAAATTCCTTGGTGATAACATAGAAAAAAAAAAACAAAAAAACAAAATAAGAATTTGATGAAACTGACATTTGTTGACACTTGTGGACGAGAGGTGCCAAGAGAGCAGATCTCAAGTGTTGAAGTACAAGAGCCCGGTTGTTTCTAGCCAGATAGAGCGCCGCTTCCAATGCAACGTCGTGAAGGATAAATGGACTAACGATACTGTTCACTGTACAGATGCAAAGCTGGTGGAGGTACTGCGTACCGAGACGCTTCGACACTCTCAACAGCCATTTCACGTCTTCCCCGTAAGGTGGATTCCGCGCGTACTTCGCTTGAGGTCTGTCGTCGTGCACGCGACGAGCCAAAGTTTCCAATGCCAACATCCCTACGCGGTACGCAGCGACCAGAGCACGGAGCTGCTGCTGGCTAAAGGGTTGTGTTTGCCTGTGAACCTGCATATAAAAAATCAAGCATATATAACTATTAGTAAGTACTATATCAAAAAAGTTGAAAAGGGTAATTAAAAAATATTAAAAATTTATACAAGAGAAAATTGTTATAAGAAAACAAATACTAAATACTAAATACTAAATATTAGACTAGCCTTTAAATTCAAGGAGTCTGTTATCACAGATCAAAAAAAGAAAAATTACCTGAGGCTGTGTTCTTACAGTGGATATTATGGGCTGTGCCTGAACGAGAGCAGATCCAGGCATGTTGTTCTGACCAGGAATAGGTCCTGCCACTCCAGCTTGAACCTAAAAAAACCATCATACTGAGCTTGAATATTGTCCTACAATTAACTACAGTGAAATATAGATCAGAGATACCTACATTGACTGGCATAGGCTGTTGCATGGTGAACAAATGATGAGTTCCCGGTGGCGGTGGTGGTTGCGGTGTGTAATATTGCGGCAGCGATGGCGGCTGTGTAGGTTGTGGTGGATGATGGGGATGTTGTGGATGCTGTGGATGTTGCGGATGTTGTGGATGCTGCGGATGTTGCGGATGCTGTGGATGACCCGGATGAGGCGGGAATGCCGCATGATACATTTGCATGTGCGGTGGTGCTGGTGGCAGAGTTACCCTATGCGACGGCATTGGTCCAGCAAAAGTTGGAATCGAATGGTGAGGATGCACGAAACTGTAAGGACTAACTGCATACGGCATACCAACTCCTGCAATTCAGAAATGCAATAGAGGTTTATAAAATGCGTAAACGGACAAGTCAAACTCACCTAGAGGAGCTAGCGTAGTTATAGTTGGATGCGTAGGATATGGTTGAGGAGGAGGTTGTGTACTAGTCACAACAACTGCTTGAGCTGGCCCAGGCATCATTTGCCCGTTAGACATATCCACTGGAGGACCAGGTTCCACCAGAAGTACTCCATTGAGATCCAGTTGTAGAGGATCGTGTGGCGTATCGTCTTGTTGTTCTCCACCAGGGGTGTGCTAAATATACAAATCACAATTGAATTAGTCAGCTCTTCTTTTATGTAACATCTGTTTTTATACTTACCCTGAGATACAGCTCGTACCAATACTTGGCAACTTGAAACAATACTTCTGGGTAAACGCCGCCTCCTTTCGCAGTGTTCTCCACTGTGATGCAAGCCTTCTCCAACATCGAATCGCTCTGTTCTTTGCACTGTGACAAAAACAAAATAATTAAATATTTTCTTTTAATAAAAATAGATTATAATTTTTATCAGATATTGAAAGTGCTTACCTGCAAAATGGCTCTCTGTACTTCGTTGGGATTAAGTGCATGGGCGTGCGGTAGACAAGACAAAGCGAGTTCTGCTGCTGACCGAACCATGACAGGGTCGCTCCCTCTGGACGATTTGTCGGCTATGCCAACAGCCTCGGGTGGCGTCAAGTGTCCCTCCCAACTTTCGATGAGGAACGAAATCGCTGATGCTCCTATCTCCATCGCTTGGCCAGTGATCCAAGACACGTGACTCGAATAGGTGCGACTAAGCCAATTGGGAGTGACGCAATTATGAAGCCCAAGAGCGTAGAGGCCAAGTTGAAAAGCACACATGTGCAGAGCTTTGTGTGGCCCGTGATGATTCTGACTGGTGGACGCTTGCGTAAACAAAGAAGTAGAACTGTTGCCTCCAGCCTTTGTAAGAACAGTCTTTGCCAGCTCGCACATGAAATGCGCGCCCGCTTCTGATGGTTGATTGGGAATTGATGGGTATACCCTCTTGCTCTTGTATCTGTAATAAAATTTTGTAGAATTCTTAATATTCTTTATTTGTTGGCGGTCATCTCGTGACCCTGGTTATTGCACAATAATGCTTTAATCATCCAAGTATGACTTGGGACTAGATAGAAAACAGTGAATGTTGATTGCTGAACTACAACTTGTTTATTGAATAGTGTAAATATACTATAGAGTCGATTTCCCTCTTGCTACCTGCGAGTCTATTTTACATGAATTTACTAACCGGTGGTTATTCTAATTAATACGTAAAAGTTTATTATTTAAAACAGTAGATTTAGAACAGTATTATTTTATACAGACCTTGTTTCTTTAGTTCTAGTAGGCACAGGTTGTTGAACTATCTGCGTTTGAACGGAGAGTGCATTCATGCCACTTTCCAATTCTGCACTGGTACTGCTATGCGGTCTGCTGCTCGTACCAACGACACTATCGCCATTTCCAGCATCTGTACCAGCAAGGGGGGAAGAACACTCTTCGTCATGAAGGTATCTTGTTATCTAAAACAAATGTAATTTAGTCCTCATCTACATTTGAATATTAAAAACAGTCTTCCTTACCTCGCTCTTAGTTGGAGGGTTAGAGGTGTAGTAGCTGCTAAGAATTGGCGACTTGATCAATTGATGAACGTCTCGATCCAACAATTTGTCCATGATCCTTGCTACCTTTATAGGATCATCTTTATAATGGACAAGCAACGTAATGGCCAAATCTCCCCTAAAATAATTAAACAGTTCTCACTTTGGTCATAAAGTTAATTAAATTAAAAAAAATAATAATAATAATCAAGGACATACCTCTGACGTCTAGTTCCTTCGCAAAGGAGAGGATGATCAGCTTCACTCACGTTTGCCTTCAGGCCCAAAGCAGCGACAGCCGCATCGAACCCAAGGTCCTCGTCAACGTCTGAGGACAGGTGTTTTAGTCCTGCGAATCATTCCACAATCTTTTACCTTCCACCTACACTATTTAATCATTAACTCTTTCTTGTCTGAAAGAAGATATTCTTCATCCTCGATTCGAATCGCGCAAACTCTCTTTACTCGACCAAATTTCAGAGAAGAACGTAAGTACGAAGGAAAAAAAAATGCATACTTGACATGTTAAGGGCGTCGAAAACGAAGCTGGCCAACATGATCGGGAGCAGTGCGTGACCTCTGGATCTTAGTACTCCATCTCTCAACTGCTCCGCTCTTTGGCGAACCATCGCCAGTTCGGCCGGTCCGAGTGGAATTTTCTTTAATAATCCGACCAACTCGCTCTCCTGGTGAGCCAATTTAACCTAGAAGGCCAGTCACATTGCAAAACGTTCTTTGATTGCGTTGTCATATAAATTTATCAGTCAAAAAATATAGAAAAAAAAAAAATGAATAACACTCTAGTCGTTAATTAATCTATCCTCGTCAGCGCGTAAGTTTACCTCCAAAGGTTTCGTGTTGGCTGGTGGTCTAGCCATCTCCAATCCGAACAAGCCAACCCTGAACGCCAGGTTATAGTACTCTGAATTCTCCGCGAGGACCGTACACAGGAAGCAACATTTGGCCAAGGTGGCGGATGCAAGGCACGTGAGCTGATGGGACGCCGGGTTCACTTGTTGCTAAAACATTGTCGTTGTATTCGTTACGCACTGACTAGCTCTGATCAATTGGAACAGGGCCTTACTGAATCGAACAAACGAAACCAAGTCTTTCCAATGAATCTACCTTCTTCTTTTTCCCTTTCACCGGCGCCGGGGGTTCGTCGATCATAAGGTTAGGGGGATTGGCCAACAATTCCTCGCCGAGTTGAACGCCCAGGATACAAGCTTCCCTCGTGTGGCCATGAGCATAGAGCCCCTCTGCCCTGGCGAACAGGATGTCCCATGGGTCTTCTGTTTTCATCAGATTGCCCAACACCGTGCTCGCGTTCGCAGTGGACGTCGATTGCGATTCGTTCTTGGAGTCCTTGCTCGAAGCGCCGTTCGCATTCACAACAGCTTTAGGATCATAATAATAAACGTGATATTCGTCACCAGACGGGCTATCGCTACTCGAGGAAGAACTCTCGTCCTTGGATGGCCTTCTGGATGGATCCTTCTCCTGGTCGGATTCTTGCTCGCTCTTGGAACTGTTCCCTTTAGGCAATACCGTTCGCGATTTCTCACGATAGTCGAGATTCGTCCTGCTGTATTTCGCGTCGCAGGCAGCTTTGTTATTACTACTATCACTACTATCACTATGGGTCTCGGACGAGGCGTTTGAGCGGTGCTTGTCCGAGTCTTGAGCGTTCTTCAGACTGACATTACTATTCGAGGACGACTCGCTGCCGCCACCTTCCTGCAATTTTCCGTTGTTCTGTGGTTAGATTGTGCCAATAACGATCAAAAATTTGTTATCAATATTTAAAGTAACGAAAAATCATACATTCTATTTGTTGGCCTGATTTTTAACCGTAACGACTACTTTTAGACTTAGACTTGGCCTTTACATTTTTCTCCAACGATTTCATATTCTGTAAGGTAAGAAAGTACTTACTTCTTTCTCGAGAAGTATGCTCAAACGTTATTAAGAAGAGATTGAAATCTTCTATTAAAACTTCTCATGATTTGTTGTTACGAGGTATAAATTATCGACAATTTTTCACTGAGGTTCAATTATATTCTTCGCTCTATGTTATTACATTTTTAATAAATACGTTCTTATCGTTTCGTTACGATTCAAATATAAATTATTTTCCTGACACACATACCTGCGAGTCTGTATCCCCGCAATTATTTAATTGAGCGCAAGATCTTCTAACGAGAACTACTTGAGGCTCGGAAATATCGGGCATATCGGTCTCATTCTCGCAGAAACCTTCTGAGCTAACGCTACTTCGGTTCCCATCGCCGCCACCGCTTCGCGAGCATAATCCCGAACACTCCCGCGAGTTCAATCGTCTTCTGTCCATATAACTGAACTCTACCAGGCCTAAACTCAATGGTCGTCGACCGTGGTGATGGGAAACGGGTGGCTGACAATTTAACACGGCTGCACTTGAATTCACCTGCGATTCAAGCACATCGATCAAACACTTAAATAACATATTTACATAGAAATACATTACAACTAATTATGTGAAACATGTGTACGCAAAAATGTCTGATACAAGAATTTTATATTTACTAATTATATCGTAACATATTACAGCGACATATTACTTTTTCACTCTGATATTAAATTAACGAATGACTTCATAAATTATCTATGATCATACAAACTCAATTTTATATTTACACATGAAGGGGTACACGTATCAAAAAAGTATAAGATTTAAGAATTTATTTCTATTCTACGTTAAACCAAGAGGAAAAAGAAAGAGTATATGATAGTGCAGCAATGTTTTACGTTTAAAGAAGTACATGATGCCAAAAGAGCAGAACAGGGACATTCTTGTGAAGTTTAGTTTTATTCCAAGGCGATGGTAGTTTCATTGGAAAAAATGAGTTGGATTAACGAACTGACCTGGTTCACCTCGGTCCTGGTATCGCCGGCATGCCGAAAGCAGGTGAACGGACAATGATACATGGGATTGCTTCCGGCGGTGTAAGTGATACCAGGCAAGATATATTCCTCCCAATCCAGATAGCACGCCTCGAGGGCCGATTTAAAGCCGGTGAAGACGGCCAGGTCATTCTTCAATGAATCCTTGTGACCACCGCCATTATTTCTGTTGTGTGAATTGTGCGTCACCGAACTGCCCCGACTTTTCGTCACCTTGACAAAGAATAAAGAGACTCGCCGTCAGCCAACTACCTCAGTTTCAAGGCAGATTTTGCTCTCGGAATTAATGAATTTTTACTTCTAACGTGGAGAGAGATCAGAGATTATACGAATTGTAACATTTTACTACAATTCTTCATGTTTTATGATTTATTAGAATATTCATATTTTCACTCCTTAATTTCAAATCTGAAATTAAGTGAAACGAACTACTATCAGTCAGGCGTGAAATAACTTGTAACTTATCAACTCTTTAATCCAATTAATAATTTGTTAGCTTTGTAATTAACTTAACTTAACTAAATTAATTTCCTAAATGAAGGAGCTGCTGCAACAAGAAGATAGCTCCTCTTTCTAACAAACCAAGAAAACTATGCTCGCATTAACAAACTTTCACTTGGTGTTGACTCTTCTTCATCGCCAAGTGAAAGATCGCTTGCTGTTTTTCAAACGAAATACATTTTCCAAGAAGCTGGTTTCTTCTTCTTGCTGCAAAGACCCGGTCAACTGTCAACTCTGACATACTATACCTTGTCGATGATCTTCATGTGCCAAGCAGTAAACTGACCATGAAGCATATCTCGTTCGGCAGGCGATAATCCAGGATTCAAGGCAGCCAGCCGCCATAGAACGACAATCTCGTCGCAGAGGGAGGAACAAGCGTGCTGCGAGGCGTGCACGTTGCTGTTCATGTTGTGCTTACCGCCATATCCGGTTCCGTTCAACAAAGCTACCTTTGTGTTGAACCACCAGACGAGGATCTGCTCGCAGGCCATACACTCCTCCGTGATGATCTCCAACAACGGTATGGCGTTGCGATCAGTCCTCTTGAACATCTCGCGAACGATCGACAGCAAATTCCACATGCCTTCCGGTTCACGGCCACGCAACGGTCGCAGCAACGAGGACCACTCGGCAGCTGCAGGAGGCGCAGTGGTGCTCAGGTAATTAACATCACTGCAATTAGACATGCGCCGTTGAATTTTAACGGAGATACATTTGGATGACGCAGAGAAAGATATAAATTTGGTAATTTCGGCAATTTGACAATCTGAATGTCTGGTAATTCCAGGATCTGGAGATTTGACAATTTCTTGTAACTTAGCGAGCTTGAAAAATTTGATAATTCGGGAGTTCGGCGAACTTTGAAATTTGAGAGTTTATTAATTTCGAAATTTCGGAGGTTTGGCAAATTTGGAAATTTAGGAATTCGGTAATTTCGTGGTTTGCTGATTTGGTAATTCGGCAATTTCAGAATTTATTATATTTAGAGACATCGTAATTTAATAAACTGAGTAACGCATAAAACGCCATCAAGAGCTCAACTTCTTACAGCACAAATTCTGTAGGGCATTCTGAACGAATATTATACTTTGGTGAATGGATCTCGAATTCTATCGTATCCGCTACAGAATTCGGAAATAATACTGAACAATCAATAATCTACTGATACAACAGATGATGGAGAATGATAGATTTATGTAATGGAATAACGAACAATAATAAACAATAATGACCTAAAGACGATCGGCGCGGGCACGCAGAATTTAATGAGGATCTTTTTGATGTTATCGTGCAGTGTCTTCTCATCGAGGTACCAAGATGTTTGATCGTGGGCCGAGGCGCCAGCCGTGGGATCCGGGGCGCCACAATAACTGTTGATGGTACTCGGCTGAACCGACAACAGCTCGTCCAACAGTCGTTGGGCAGTGGGCAAAATCTGCTGTGGTAGCTCGCTGATGAGATATTGCGCGAACTTCTGCAGTTGTTCCCGGTGTAAACGTGACAAGGATTCGCTAACTGGAGCTCTCAGGCACACCTGCGTTGGCTGGATGCAAACAATGAAGAGCTCTTGTGATCAAGGTCAATTAACGCCTCGTATGACCAATCAGTTTTCTTAAATCATTCGAATAGATCAGTTTGGTCGTTCCTTGAAGTATTAATATCATTTTCTTTCAATGAATCAGTTTGGTTGCTCCTATTGGTGAACTTAAAATTATCGAAAAAAAAAGAAGGAAAAATTATAATGTCCAAACTAATGTTGAAGAAAATAATATTAATATTTTAAACGAACGACCAGGCTAATTTCTTTAAATGGTCTAAACGAACGACCAGGCTAATTTCTTTAAATGGTCTAAAAAAAATTGATCGATCGTACAAAGGATTAATTGGCGTGATCGCAAGAGCTAAATTTCATTGTTCTTGGTATTTTACATACTTATGTACATTATATACATTCTATACAATTTTATAAAATCTAACAAAACAGTTATGTACTTATTTAATAATTACATATATGTATATACAGGGATGTATATTTTGTTACGTGTTTGGCGTTTTTTCTTTTTTTTTTTTTTTTTTCTTTTGAACTAACTTTATTTACCATGTGTATTCTGTGAAGGCAAACAGCGACCACATGAGCGCACCAATAGGCCTTAGAAGAACAAGTACAGTTGCATGATGTGATTTTCCGTCGGTCGAACGTCACAGCCACATTGAACTGCGACCTGACGCCGTTCATCACCCCCTGCGAGTTCACTGTGGCGCTCAAGTGGAAACCTGCAATAAAAAGGAATGAATAAAAGAAAAAAAAAAAAAACAAACGAAATGAAAATATTTCTAAAAATCTTTTCGCCAATAATTACTGTATTTTTATACTTATATTTCGATTTCAAACGACCGAAAGACATTATCTTCTTGCAACGTTGACTCTTTCAAGCTTGTAGGTAACGTCGTACTGTTTACAAATGATCGTCTGACAAAATTTCAGCCGTCACGATCCCAAAAGAGTTGGCTCGAAAATTTCCCGAAATTTCCGTCATTAACAACTAACAAAAAAAAAAAAAAAGAAGGAAAATAATTTCTCTCGCGGCTCAAAAAGAAAAAAAATACTTAGTAAATTAGTTCGTAAAAAAAAAAAAAAAAACAAATTGGAGAAGATCGAGAGTACATCTCGTTTTGAAGCAACGAGCAAGAAAATGACGAGAAGTTGAATACGAGGGTTTCCAAGCGAGGCAGAGAGATAAAGACATCATTTCGAGCGCATTAAGAAACTTAACGCCTAGGGCCGTGGATAGCCAACAAACGGAAGACAAAGAGGAAGAGGCTGGGTCTCTGTGTATCTGGAGCGCAGCGCAAATTACCTGGAGGAAATTAACCAACCAGGAACAGCTTGATCAAACAATGAAATTAAGGATTAAATTCCAACGCTCCTCTCGCCGTGGATCCTTCGAGCGGCTCGATTCGCCAGACGAATGCGAGGCTTCTTCGAGGCATTCCCTTGTTTGTCAGATTATTTTCTGAATAGGATGAAGGGACGAAGTAGCTCGCGAACTTTGTTTAGAACGTTGTCGTTCCTTGACAAATTTCAGAGTCGTCGTAATTAAAGTACCAGGCATTCGAAATACTCTGTTACAGTTCAGTAAGTAATATGAAACTTAGCAAATTAAATTTTAAAAGTGGAGTTAAAAGTGAACATCTCTTGATCAGTTTGTTGATGTAAGTCTCGAGGAGCTTGGAATGGACGCGAGGTCTCGGATTTCTGACAATCTTTTTTACTTTTGAACTTCAAAAATTTGTAAATTTGAGAACTTACGCTGAAACAATTTTGAATTCGTAGTGAAACAATTTGCGACATTGCTCTGTAGAATTGAATAAAAATTCACGTACGTTCGTACATGTGAAAACGTGATTGGATCAAATTTATGTCAAGGAATTCAATTAATTAATTAATCTTTCTCCCTTCCGAAAATTCAATATTGTACAATATAATTCACGTTTCATACCCGAAACATAACACAATATTCTCTGCCACATCGTATTTTCATTTTGTACTTTATTCAATTGTTCAAGGGACAAATGACACGATTAATTAAAAACATTAATCTATCGATTATATTTGGTCTGACGTTGCGACAGAGTAAGAACAATGAAGAATAAGATGGAACGAAAGTCAATTTCCTTCCTTGACGCGACTGAGCGGCAGTAGTATAAGACAGAAATGAACAGACGATTCAGTAGTGTGGTTATAATTATAGCGATCCGGCAGGAAACAGCGATCTCGACATTCCAATTTCACGTTGCAAAGCCTTAACTCTTAATTGGTCCCGCTAAATCATAGACTTAAAATAATTTAGATTGCTTTCGTTCGTATTCTATATCTTGCGAGATAAATTTATCAGGTAAAATATATAGTACGAATTGAAATTTAATATCCCAAAGCTAAGGAGACCCAAATAACGATTTAAAGTTAGACTGCCGAATTTTGGAATTCTTGATTTAACTTTCGTCGCCAATCTATATATATATATATATACTTTCGATTCTACTATTGGTAACACCTAACCACCACGTTTAGTGCTATTCAGAACCAAAGTAACGATGTAAAGTTAGTAAACACTCGATTCTGAGATTTTTAATTTTAATTTTATCAACAGGCTCTCATTCAACTTACGCGGATTCGTAGCTTTTGTTAAATTTTATTCCATCAAATCCACATTTTGTTAAATGAAAGAAATGAAACTCGCTTCACTTACTAACAATAATTATCCTAATGTACATACATGTTTCACTTTGTATTACAATTTGTATCTTACTATCAAGTTTTTGCATCTTCGTATCTCCCAGAAAAATGCATATGAAAATCGCGAAAAAATGCATTCTGTTGTTAGAATAGCTTGGCAAATAGTGTTTTTTTTTTTTTTTTTTTTTTTTTTAATTTGTGGATCACTGACCGATTTGTAGAGGATCTTTCACGCTCCTCGACCGGAAGAAGTGTTCGCCACGCTGGAATTCGTCGGCGCTTCCGTTCGCCAGACAGGAGTAGAGCCTGATGTCCTCCTCGTTGTCCGGGAAACTCCAGAACGCTATCCTGAGCTGCAGCTGCTCCGGAACCGGTGGATAAACGTGTTCCACCAGCTCGAACGGGATATGAGAGGCGACGCATCGCGCCGCAAGTTCGCACAGTGTTGGAACCGCTTGTCCATCTGTAACAGAACGTTTTTCAAGATGTCGAATGAACTTCGTACATTTCGTCGCTCGTTGTGTATATTTGTACTTCGATTAAAAAATATTTAGAATAGCATAAACAACAATGATGTACATATTTTTAACGGGCACACTGTAGAATATTTTTTAATTTATATTATAGGCAAGAGAATATTTCTCGAGACGATAATGAACGATGTGTTACTTTATTTATAATTTGTTAATTAATATTTTAAGGACGTGCATCCAAGATATTGAGTCTGATTAATATTATTTTAATACTTGTTAATTTATGTATCACAGTTAATTAAAATAATAATCTTCTATTACTTTTGAGCTTCTCGTTACTGGTGCTGCTACAATTACTGCATTTTCTTCTGTTATATTTTTAATTATTCCTGCTCCCCTGCGGTACGTTTTTCATCTTCTCTCTTTTCTTTTGCAATAATCTCGTTGTGCGTGTATTTTCGAGTTTTCGTCTTACTAATTGTATTAATCAAAATCATCCCCCGGACGTTAAATACATCGAAGAAAAGTGGAAAACACTGCAACATCGGCCTATCACTGTGATATTATATACATACTAAAATTACTACAATCATGTATCTAGCGTAAGGAAAGGGGACAGAGGCCGCAAGACCGTCGCGTCGATGCAAAAATAATCGGCCTCTTTCTCTTCCGGCCATCTGTTTCCCGTTACAGCCAACGTCTGCCACTTGGAATCGCGGCTTCTCCCTCGAGGACATGGCGCGAGCCAACGAAAAAGGTCGAAAGAAACAAGGGAAAAAGGTTAAACTCCATCGAGAAGACGGCATTTTTTTATCGCGAGCGCAAAACAAAAAGCAATACGAGCTAATAAATAACAGTAAAAAAAAAAAAAAAAAATACGTAATTACAATTAATAATAACGAATAACTTTAATTTTTATAATTAACAAAACATTACAACCTCGTATTTCAACTCTCGATGTTAAAAATCGGCAGTGTCCAACAATTCTTTCACTTGTTGTCAATACCATCCAATCTTGGATAAAAATAATTGAGGCGAATCGTGCAAATAATAATTCAGTTCCATTTACACGTGTACCAGTAACAAAATTAACATTGTCTATCAGTATTATAAATTAACACTATCTGTCTACCTAAAAATCATTCCGCGTATCTCAATACACCAATCGCCTGGGTTAAAAAAGAAATATTTGCACGAACGTTTGTAAAATCCGAGAGTAATTCGCGATGGCGTCGATCGAGCGCAATGAAACATACCAATAAACAATCTATCAGCAGAGAGTTTCGCGTGCACGTTAGTTTGCACGATTGAATTGTATTCGATCAGAATCGATTTATTTAACAGGCCTGTCGCGTCCAGGCGTCTCTCCTCCTTTTTCTCCCATTTCGCGTCTATCCACCACCGTACGAGCCTTAAGGAGTCAGGACAGTTTGAAATTTTCAAAAAATCGATTTTTTCTTTTTTCTTTTAATAGTAGTTTGAAGTCTTAGAAATAAGATACAAACGGTGCTAGCCTTTAAAACGACTTACTTTGGGGTATAATAATAAATAAATCCGCGGATTTGCATCACTGTTTGCAACTTTAAGCAGTGTTATAATGTGTAAATCGTGCGTGTAAATCGTGATTCAAATATTACTTTCGGCGAATCGAAAATCCGGGGACTTGGATTCAATTTGGGTTGTGAATTGTGAGAACTATGAGTCGCGATATATAAGTAAAAAAAAGTAAATAAAGGATACATATGAGAAATGACGTTCTGAAACATTAAACGCGTTTTTCTCGAAACTAGGTTTTTAGAAACGGTGTGCAAGATATCTCGGAATCTAACCAACCGATTACCGTGAAACTTGGTACGTAACATTTACTAGGAATTGACGATCGAACATTTTTTAATTTTTAACAATTTCGAAAAATGTAAACAAAAAACGTAGAAATTTCTGGCATAAATTCGATACATCAAACACAATTAACCGCCATTTTCATAATTTTCACAGAAATGAAAATGTTGGATCGTCAATCCCTAGAGAATATTGTTGTCACTTTTGAACTTTTTTTGCCTTTTCGTTGCAACTAATTCCTGTTTGGCTGGAATCATGCACACCGATAGGCAATGTAAAAAAAAGTTATGTAAAAGAATGTCGTGAAAAAGTTAAGTATGAGCCCTCTTCTTTTCTTCTTTTAATGTTGCTTCTTATAGTTCATAATGTGTTAAAATAAACCACAAAAAAGCTCGTGTCAATCAAACATGATCATACTTTTTTTTCACTAGCCCTGCAAAGTATTCGTAATTTTTAGCCCCCTCGATCAAACTGTCGATTGAAACGACCTCAAACGATGGTTATGCAATTGCGCTGGCTGGCCGTTTCTGGTCAGTTTCGAGGACCTTTCAACGGACTTACGTACTTCCGTTCTCCGCTCGACGGATTATTATTCGATTTCGTCGATTCGACGCAACAACGCGCGTCTGGCAAACGACGCTAATTTGAATTAACCCGCGGCAACCGCTGGCTTCCGGTTGAAATCGTACTCCGGCAAGCGGCGTGTCTAATTGGTCGGTGCTGCGTCCCGATGGAAACTTCGCGCCGGGACCAAATGGAACCCAAGTCGAAGTAGTTTCTCGAGTAATTGGCGACAGCGACGAATACGATTCGACGTTATCATAAGAAGGAAAATGATACTCCCTGCGGGGTAATGCACGAGTTCAGAATCTGCGAACTGTGAATTCTTCTTATATATTTTTTTATACAGTTTTACGAAGACAATTTACGAAGATAATCGAAGAAACTTTCATTAATTGATTAGTTCATAATTAGATTTAATTAGATTAAATGATATTAAGAATGAAGCGAAATATTCAGCATTATGATATTATACAGATATCTTAAACTTCTCGGATTCTCATGGACTGCAATACGACGATGAGAAAATATCAAATGGATTGTAATTTCCTCCCTTTCCTACCGAAACGAAATTATCAAAGAACCGAAATTGATAATTTCATTGAAAAGCAATTTTGCGAACAAAATTTTGTTCTAACGCGGTTAAAAATATATTTGAAATTAATATAAAATTGTATTGTTGTACAAAATGTAACTAATTAAATTAATTAAAAAATGCGGATCGCAAAATAGATAAAGTATCGTTTGAGGATCTTTTCCCCAATCATATTTCCGAATTCTACATAAATCAGGATTAGGAGAAATCTACATGATCAGTATGAGTTCAACTACAATTCTATCATAAGTACAAATTTAGGAATCGTAAAGGTGGAACATCTGTACAAATGGAAACCAGCCGGGACATTGAAAATGCTTTTTACGCCCGGTGCACGCAACAGAGCCTGGCCAGGGAAATGTTGTAACCAACCCCTTATTGATTTTCCCCGCCGGGAGAGGTGTAAGTTTGAGTTTCGTAGAAAACCACGTGCAGCCGCTAGCGTGTTCCCTCGATAAAATAAGAGCGACAAATCGATGCACGAGCAATTTATCGTCCGACGGTGCGGCGCGTTTAAACGTCGCGGGATACTGGCGAAACGAGTCCGCGATTGATCGCCTACCATCGAGCAAAAAGTGATTCAGCACCGTCTAATTTCGTTAACTTCTTGGAACGAATGGAGATTCCAGGCTATTTTTTTTCCTCATTTTATTTCATTTCATTTCATTTTATTTCACTGCGATTGGTGAGGATGGAGGAAAAATTAAGACCGATTATTGCAATTAGGTTATTTATGGAAAGAGAAAGGTAGTTTCAATATTAATAATGGTACTGTATGGTTTATATTATCTAGGGAGAATAATCTCATCAAAGTGATATTTTTATTAAAATGCTAATGTGAAGCAAACATATTATTATATTAGAAATATAAAGAAATATAAGTTGAACGATACGATCTTTACGTATTGAATTTATTTCGTAAAACTTCAAATTTCAACGGCAGCCAACAACGAAAATTGGTGATTAATACTACCAGCTCAGCGAAGCTTGAAAAAACACTGTCACAATAATACGTATTTCATCAGCAAACGTGGCCGCGTGTTTTTTGTTTAAAAACAGAAAAAAAAAGGAGAATATTAAACTCTCGTTGCGAGAGCTGAACGATTGGAGGCAAATATTTGATTATTTTCAACGCAAAGGGAAAAATGACAAATTGCCGATGAAAATTCTGCGAGATAAGGTAAACAAGTTTGCCAGCGAGATCACACCGCGATTTCCGACACATTTCTCGCCGATTTTCCAGAAGCGACCGAGTGAAAATTCTCTCTTTCTCTCTCTCTCTCTCTCTCGGTTTCGTTTTGGTCCTAGTCGGGACTCGCGTCAATATTCCAGGCACTTTGCAAAAATTTCCATTACTCTTCCCCTTTGTTTTTCCTGAAAATGTTTGGCCGATCGATCGTGAAAACCTTTCGCAACGCGTGCCGCTAGACAACCACCACCGTCATTCTAAACGTCCAACCATAACATAACTTTCACAGTTTAGACTGTCGTGTTTCATGATTTCTATCTTATCTTTCATTTCGTCCAGAGTTACTGAATTTTGACGATGAAAAAAGAAAAATATAATCAATAATTGCATTAGTTCTCTGGAAAATATTGGATCATCGTGTATATATATATATATATATATATATATATATATATATATATATATAAATTCAATTAAATAATTAATCAACGATGTGTGAACTTTTCCATCTTCTCTGGAATTCTTTGATATTTTTTTATAGATTATTTTATGAAACCTTTCATTCGGTAGCTTCGATAGCTTTGAATTCGGGAATTTGTTTAAGGAAATTGTGTTATTGATGAAATGAAATTTGCTGACGGACACTTTATGAGACATTAAATGAATGATCATCGATAAATATTCTAAGCTGTAAGCTTTGAGCTTCTAATAAAACGAAGGAAGACAAAATGTCCTTCCAATTTTCTTCTTCTTGTTTCTTCATTTTATATTTTGTAATATTAACGTAATACTTCAATTTTCTCTCA